ATAATAATAATAATAATATTTAAACAACCCTATCAGACCCCCATGCAGATATTTTATGATCATTTTGTACTAGAGCAATTTTATTCACAACAGCTTGTTCTCCTCATTATGCAATGTTGACTAGGTACAGATCAATTAAATCAACAAGTAAGACAGACAGATCACATGTGATGAAGTCTGGTTTAGTTTGTTTGTTTGTTTGTTTTGGCTGTACCTCATCTGGATGACCTTTGACATCAAAGTAGATGGTGAGCTGCAGTTTTATGCACTCCTCCACTGCCTCCTCCAGAGTTGGGATCTTCTCTCCAGCAAACTTGTCCCTGGTGGCGAAGTACAAAAGTGTTTCTCACATGCATATCATGCTTTTGAAACAAATGTGCTGTTTATCTGGGAAACATTACAGTTAACTTTGATCAGAGATACACTTAACTTTTCCATTCCTGGACTGTGATCAAATGCATGTGGTAATGAAGAAAGGACTTTTTTTCCTTTGGGATTATAATCCCAATCAAACATGTAAAACATTTATAGAGACTTTATGCTCCTGTGCATTGAAACATTTATGGTGTTCTTTTACTTTCTATTAAATGTCAATTTAAAAATAACCTTATGAAATGGTAGTCTTGGCTCCTGTTATTTAGTTTTTTTAGTTCATGTGGGTTTTTTCTCTTGTTATGTTGGTGATGATGATGTTGTGTTTCACTCATTGTCATCTAGTTTCAATCTTTTTGTGGCAAGGTCGCAGATGGTCTTTGCATCTCTTCCATCTGCATCCTATCGGCTTCTCTCTAAAGGATTGTTTTGCATTTTTCTTTCTTCTTCTGTTTGTTCTGGAGTGAGTTGTTTTTAGCCTGGGTTATTTGTCTCACATGTATATAACAGCACCTTGCGTCTCTCTTCTCGTCTGATTGTTTATAGCAATGTGTTTTTTTAACATCTCCTTTTAGTATTTTCTTACAAATGCCTTGAGTATTGGTGGACACAGATGATCACCATGAAACATCTCCCCATGTAACTGTAAAATGATCAGTTCAGCATCCCGACAGCTCCACCAACGCAATATATTCTGTACCAGGCAATTCCACTGCAGAAACAGAAAACCAGCCTGTCAGTGGAAAGACTGACCTTCTGCTAAAGGCAGGCTACATCAGCAAGCTGCAACCCAGTGTAAGTCACAAAGCACTGAAATATGATGTAGCAGTTACTACTCAAACACTTTAACCCAGGAAACCTGCAGGACTATCCTTTTGTCTGTTTGTGTCAAATATTGTCCAAATTAGCTTGCATTAACTCACCACCAGCAGCTTTAAACTATTTCATTTGATGAATAGACTGCATACAGCCTCTTACTCTTACAACGTACATGCAGCTGCTCATCACTGCGGATATTCATCACAATGTAACAACTGACTCCAAATGTATGTAAAGCAACACTAACACACAGTCAGTATATACATGACTTTATTGACTCATCAGTTCTTCCAAACATACGAAACAAACAACACTCCGATCTAACTCAACCATCACTACTGATTGTATACCTTCGTTGTATTCTTGTTGTTTTATTTTAAATTCCATGAATCTGTCCCAAGGTGGGTTTAAATGATGTCATTAGTCTGGGTTTTAATGCTAATAACTTCAGTTTAAACATAAAGCAATAAAAGCCCCAAAAGTAAATCTTCAATGTCTGCGTGCTTGTATGTGCATTCACAGCTACATCCTTCTTTCTTACCTGAGTCGATGTTTAGCAGCTGCGTCCAGTTTGGCCAACTCGGACATCCTGAACTGACTGAGTGGTCCCGACGCGTTGGTGGTCCGGTCCACAGTCTCATCGTGCATCAGTACTGGGACGCCGTCGGCTGAGAACTCCAGGTCCAACTCTACACCTGTTGCCCCATTCTTACTGGCCTAGAGCAGGACAGACAAAGAAGAAGGTTGGAAATATTTCAGGATGGTTAGTTTCTGGTCCGCCTGTCAAAATCTTCACTCACTGAAAATCGATCTGAACCTTAACTTCATTAGGGACACTGACTTTGACTTTATATAAAGCGACGAGAAATGCTGAGCTTAAATGTCAGCCGATATTATCTTTACTTTTATTGGTACTGGTGTATGTTGGCCTATAAATAACAATGCAATATGGGAATGCCAAAGAAATGAAAGACATCATTTAAAAGCAGTGTCTCCATTATGTAGTTGTACAGTGGAGAGCACTGACAGGTTTATTTTTTTTTAATTCAGGCTATGTGGTTAATGCTTTTCTCACAATTTTGATTGTCCAATCAGTTACATACTATATATATACACACACACACACACTACTGGGCTGCTCTGGATACTAACACAGTTCAGTAAAAGTGTGTACCACTGACAGTATATATATATTTGTATATATGTGTGTGTACATATATTTGTGTGTACCTACCTGTAGTGCTGAATGATAATGAGGTTACCAGTGGTTAAGGGACATGATATCTTGATACCCTGTTATTTTTTACATAGTCAACTCAGTGGCAGTATTGTTCACCTTTGTGAGTGATTATTATGACAAATGTCGGCCTCTGTAGGGGTGGTGTGCCCCTTGTAACCACCGGTCCATCCCAACACAACCCTCCTCTCCCCTCCTCTCACCTCTCGGATAGCTGCCAGTGTGTTCTCCGGAGCGTCGTGCCCACCGCCCCGGTGAGCGACCACTGACACCTTACCGGAGCCTGCGGCGCCCTTCTCCGGGTGCAGCACCTGCCTGGCCCGGCTGGTGGGTACCTGGGGGAACCGGAACATGACCATAAAGAGGTAGAGGGAGGCGGTGAGGGCGGTGGTCCACAGTGGGCTCCGGGTCCCTAACAGCACCGCTACGAAGACCACCGAGTACAGGACGACTTCATCTCCGAGCTGCAGCATTGTTGTCTTGTCTTTTCTGACTTGAGAGAGTCAGGAACAGAAAGTAGCACCACCTTGAAGCAGATGAGCCGCCGCCTGTCAGTTGACCGTGAGCTGTCGTTAGCAACCAGTCCCGCTTTGTTCCGTAGCTTAGTTACGGTCATATTATGTCTAACTTAACGTTATTAGTTAAATGTTAACATTAGTTACTGAAACCAACCCATATAAACACGTAGGAGCAGGAGACCCCCATAGAGACGACCTGCAGCGGGTCATTTGACAGGAGAAAGAGGAGGAACCTGTTTCTTCCTCTCTCTGGCGGATATGACAGCTCTGCCGCCAGTTAGCGTTACGTATCGTTTCCGCAAACCGAAACCAGGTTAAAGTTAAATCTACAGGTTTTAGGATGCGGTGAGATTTTTAATGAAATCTTAATTAAATAATATCCGCAGTGATAATTTACAACTGTCCCACAAGGGGGCACACGAGTACGTAACACATTAAAACACGGTTAACGGTGTTCGAGTACATCCGGGTCATAACCTAGTGTACAGTTAGCTCCCTCTGTAAGTGTGGCCTCTGGTATGTCTCTTATTTCTGAAAACAAGATTAGTGTTTCTGTGACTCCTTCTTCTATTCAGCCTGCCGCCGGTCATGGTGAGCCTCGGTATTTCTCACACTCTCGTAGTGCTTTCACTGTTTTTTCTTTCAAGAATGAAAGTTGAATTATTAGCCACACAGGCTAACTGCTAGGTGCTAGGATGAATGACAGCTCAGTCAGGGGTTGTGTATCTCTCATCTGTTTAGTCTTAACATGGCTATTGTTCATTATTTCATTTCTTAGAAGCACGTTAAAAAAATACATTCCAACTGGCTGTAAGGAGCATTTCTCCTCGACCCAACCTGAATTAAAGACAACTAAGTTACATCAAACAAAGTTCAGCTGTATCCATGATGAATTGTATTATTCATAGAGTGGCAGGATAACTGGAAAACATGCATGATGTTTTCATGCAAGCCAATCCAGTAGCCCTGCTATTTGTGTTTAATCAATCTCAAATACTGCTATCATAGGATCCTAAGAAAAACAAACATTCATATTTGAGATTGTGAAAGCAGATGCGTTTGGCCTTTTTGCTTAATTAATCTTTGATTGTTTCGGCTCTAATGCAGTGACAAATCTATCATTTTGATGTTGTTTTTCTACAGATCAGGTCAGTGCTGCTGCGAAGGCTAACCTCCCACATCCAGTCCTGTAAAAGAGGACCATGTCTACTCACAGGTCGGATACCTTATGGGCTGCAGCCTCATTCACCAGGTCACACACTCACCCAGCAGAGCTCCCATGGACCCTTCATACCTAAAATCACTGGTCTGGTCAGGTACTCGGACTTGTCAACAGAGAAATATACTACGATTTACACCCTGCCGTACATTAAGCATCTCAGAGCCGCGTCCAGGCTCAAACTGCTCCAAACTGCATTCACCATAGTCATCTTGCCCCCAGTGTTGGTCCTCTACCACCAGGGACTCGTCCCCTTCTCTCTTGTCGGCTACACAACGGGGATAGCGCTGTTTGCTGGTGTCATGCTGTACACTGCCAGTCACTTCTTCAGGAGGGTTGTGGGGATAATGTACCTGGACACGTCCCACACCACACTCAAAGTGTCCCACCTCACCTTCTGGGGCAGGCGCCACGATATCTACATTCCTGTGTCAGATGTTATGACCATAGCGGACACAGGGGACGCCGCAGATGAGATGATATTGACACTAAAGAGATACAGTAGTCCACAAACGTTCTATTACTCCACTCAGTTTGGACGTGTTGTGAACAAAGAGGGTTTTGAGAAGGTGTTTGGTCGTATTTAACACTGAGGTCCCCGTTTTACTATGTTCGAAATACAACATGCTATAATGTGAAGGATCTGTTCTTCATAAAAAATGGTTGATCAAATGTTTAAGATTATACACCGGAAGACTTTCTGTTATAATAAGTGATATATTAGCGGTTATCACTCTGATGTCTACTGTGAATAACTAGCAAATACATTTTCAGTGAAGCTTGTGATTGAAAAGTAAGGCTGCATATTTGCAGGCCTCTGCAGGACTGAGCTTTAGAGTGGAACAACATGCCAAAGGACCAGCGTTGGAAGTAATATGTACTTTTGTCTGTGACTTAATGTGTGAAGCAGAAAAAAAGTAATATAAAATTAAAGACCTCTTGGTATGAACAGGTTGTCCTAATGGTTTTCAAATGTTGCACCTTGAAACAATAATGACTAACAGGACACTCAGTCATTAGCAGAGTAGCATGAAATGATTAGCTAAGGGACATCCTTTACTAAAAAACATTTTAAGGTAAAATAATGAAGTACATTACTTATTAAAAAACAACCAACAACGACTCTTTCACACTTCAAGGACTTCTTGTCCATGTGATATGATTGAAAGCTCTTGAATAGACATTGAAGGGATCTTGTGGTGATATTGTATTTGTCAACTAATGTTTCCACAGTCGAGATTAAATGCAGAACTTAATCTTTTAGGCCAACATGGATAAGAAGTAATCAGAAAAAAAAAGGAAATTTGAATTCTACAATTCCACGACAACTGGGTAAACTCCACTTCATCTGCTGATGAAGATCATATGATGTGATCCAAAGCTCAAGAACAGCTACTAAATGGGCCTTGGGGTGAGATTATTTTCTAAAGAAAATAATTATTAAGAGAAATTACATGACATTTATTACAACAGAGCATATCGAAACTGTAGCTTCTCCTTTACGTCAACAGGTGAGTCCTATAGGTGAGCAGGTGTTTCTGACTGACTCATGGCTTTCTCAGTCTAGGAGATTGGATTAATGGCCTCTGCACTAGAAGGCCTTTGTCCACTCCAGAGCTTTAATGTTCTCAGAGCGCCCCCTGGAGTTTAAAAGGAGCCCCACAGCCAATGTCTCTACAGACCACCTCTGCAACCTGCCAGTCAAATCACTTTTACAGACTGAGGACCATAACTGGTTAGCTTTGACCTCCACTCTGCCTGAACACAGAGTAGTCCCATTCAGCCTGACAGACTCTGGACAGTGAGAAAGAGAGTTTGAGCGCCACTAAAAACAGTGCTACAGATAATAAATAGAACTTTGACTGAAAACGGTGAGCAGCATCAAACAAACCGACGGCAAAGAAAAACTAAAATAGGAAATGTCCTATTCAATTGAAAATATATATATAATATATATATGTTATTATAATAATAACAACCATATATTTTCTATTTACTGTGTCTTGATTTTAAAGTTCATGGATGATATCACTGATAGTGTTACCTGAGCAGGTAATCTCCAAGCTGGAGGAGGAAAAGTGGGGCTTCACTGGTACATTGTCTTTCAGTGCAGATCCAGACTCGACACTGAAAGTATTTATCTTCCACACAAGTCTTGATAAGTCAGTGTATTAGATGTTTGCTTACACAGCAGATCCACAGTCCAACTGTCTACACACTACAGCTGCTGTTCTCAAACAAAACATCATCCACTGGTTTCCCATCACTGTGGAGTTTCATTTCCAGCCCACCAGAGCAGCGGGTGGCTCCACCCATCAACCTGATAATATTACCAACTTCTGAACAGAGACGAGAGTAAGCAACACAAAATATACAGTCTCTTTTAATTAGAGGAGATTGAAAGTGAAATGTGACTGCTCTCTTTTTGTTTTCCTCCATTTACCTGGTGAATCATTTTCTTCTGCCTGGAGTCCCGACGAGAAAAATGACTAAGAATAAACATACATGTAAATCAGGTTATGGCAACTGTCAGCACCATGGAGGTTTGGGGCCGGTTGTACACCGGCATGTTAGACTCAGCTGGATGTTGCACCATGAAGTATGCAGTGGGACTGGGGAATTTGCTTGATGAAGTTTTCCTCTCAAGGACACATTAAGGGCATTTTTTGTGCTAAAAATCTTGGTTTAAAATTTCTTTTCTAACGTTATGTTGTTGTCTTATAGAACACCTGTAATTTTACTGGCATGTCTTTGCTCTTGTCTTTTTTAGCATATTTGGTGTTGAGGTAATCCAAAAGTAACATAAAGTAATCAACTTATCTTTATTGTGATACTTGGACTTAGTTTACTAAAATTATAAAGTAACCCTCCCAACCATTTCCACAGAGCTCCACATTTCAGTACTAATAGCAGTAAATAATACGACTTCAGACCTTGTATTAATGATGCTATATTTCAATAGGATGGCAACTATTATACTGTGTGTTTTAAAAAGCAATACTGGTGTGTTTTTGTTACACACGTGTGTCCGTGTCGTACTTAGTAGTCTTTTACTCCCATATGACTGTCTGACTCAGGATCGACAGTAAACAAAAAAATGGACCACCATGGTCAAACTACAATTGCATTATCACAAACGGGGTTTTGCTGCTATTAGCAGTGTCAGAGGCATAAAAATGTACATTCCACAGAGTGGAAAAAATAAGGGAAGACGAGAATAAATAAATACTGTACCTGAGGAATTAAAACGCAAAATGTCAATATAGTGTTTGGCACCAAATATTATTTTAACAAAGGTTTTGTTTCTGGTTTATTGTTTGGTACTTTCAGACAGGACGACTCAAAGTGAAGAGGATTAAGTATGGCAGGATGCAACAGTGTCCTCTGCTCTTTGCTCAAAGTTGACTGGACGGACAAGCTCACACGAGGTACCAGGCAGTGAAACCAGCGAGGAAGGCCACCCAGATGGCCAGAGCCACTTGACAGGGTGGGTGTCTGAGTAGCATCATGGCTAACTGGCATACGTAGGTGGGATTTCCACTGGCAGCTGTAGAAAAGACGGAAGTGGATGAGGTGAGGGATAGACACCAGACAAAGAAAGAACGACTGTCATTACAAACACATTCTTTGATGGCTTTTAAGCTCTTTGGTGTAGCTATGGAGCTACGGTTCACTTTAATACTGCACATGCTTCACTACAGGTCCATAATTCAAGCTGCCTAACTATCTCTCTCTACATTTTCTGGAGAATCTGTCATTTTGGGCAGAAACGCTTGATGTTCACACATTGAGAGTAAAAACATCTCAGTTAAAGAGCCGTTTTGCAAAGCATAAAATATACTGGAATACAAGTTTCATGTTATTTAAATATACTGTAGAGGATACAGTCTATAAAAGTGATATTTGTTTAGAAAACAATGTTTTCATAATTTTTCTAGTATACACAACTTTTAGGAATTTGTTCTTATTTCAGACCAAAACCCTTCAAATGATGTCTTACCCATTTTTGCTGCATAGTAGGGACACTTGTTGATATCACCTCCCTCCATGATAACTGCATGACTGTGTCCAAAACCTGCATCTTGGACCTCATCTTTGATGGTCTCCCCAATCTCTTCAAGCTCTGAGAACACCTGTTTTCAGAATAGAATAAAAAAATAAATAGTTTGTTATACCATTCTCTTTTAGCCCCCAAACATGGCCTTCTTGTCAACTTTTTTCCTGCATTGTGTTTCTCTATCGTGATGATTTTGTGAACATCTGTCGTCAGGACTCTCCCAGTCTGTCATTCCTGCTCCCTTACCATCATGTTAAAGCCAAAGGCCCGGTTGGACTCCACCACAATCCTCTCTTTGGTCTCATTGTCCAGCTCCAGCTCGTTTATCCTGCTTCGGTAAAGCTGCTTGAAGCCCTTATGACTGTATATACCTTCAAACTGGTAGAAGTTGAGACCCTCGCCAGTCGAGGGGAGCTTCAGTGCCCTCTGGGCCACTTTCTTAAGGATCTGTCCGCCTGAGAGGTCACCCATGTAGCGGGTGTAGGAGTGGGCCACCAGCAGCACCGGGTCAGTCTGTCCCACCTCGTGGATACGGTCCACGTAAGGCTTGGTGCCAGCAGTGACGCTGATCTGTGAGAGAGAGCATGCTATGAAAGTGGGGGTTTGCAGTAGTTTATGTCTGAATTTCAGGCTCCATGTGATTTCTGGTCCAGTAAAGTGCAGCTATGTCTGAGGCTCCACCTTGTAACCTTTATGTCCTGTCATGCAGCCCCTGTGTGCATTCTGCTGACCTGGTTCTCCCAGTCCTCTCCATAGAAGTACTCGAGGTCCCGGGCCAGGGCCTCGCGCCGGTGCAGCTCTGTGGGGAAATAGACTGGAGCGATGTGAGGATGGTCTCTGTTCTTCTCAATCTCCTCCTCCATGGCCGAGTAGACAAAGTAGAGGGCTGCTGTTCCCCTCTGGCAACAGAAGAGAGAGAGACAAAGAAAGAAAAAGTGTGACGGACACATTTCTGGCTTTTGAATCAAATTAGTGATTGGTGGCTTGAATGTTTAAATTGTTTTAAAAGTGGCATTTTGCACATTTCCTTGGCTGAAAGGTCAGAGGTGGAGAGAGAGCATAGGTCCACAACAACAACAACAACAACAATTGATTAACTTACTGCAGATATTATGTTTGTTAATACTGTTATATTTTACTGTTACCGGCCTGGTACCTGCTGTTAGTTTGTTACTCTGACAACAAGCATTTTTGCCAACATCATTATAAGTCTTATTATGTGACACAATAATGCAACACACTGTGGATGACAACCTTAAACAGCTCCTTTTTGATGCGGCCTCTGAGGAAATCTTTAACAAACTGGCAGTTCTCTGCTCTGTCGTGGGACTCCTTGGTCCCCTCGGCTAACATCTCGGACAGGTCGGTTGGGCTTGGAGGGAGGGAAGAGGAGACTTTAACACTTGTGCCATTTGACTGTTGTTTATATAATTCCCACCATGTGCCAGTGCCAGATCTCCCTACCTAAGAACTTCGTCATCATCATCCACAACAATCCTTGCCCCTCCATTTGTCACACCATTGGATTTGGGCTGTGATGTCTCCCTGGCTTCCATCTTGCTGGTTGTCTCACAACGTTTCTACCTTAAAAAAGCAGGAGAGAGACAGATGCATTCATCAAACGTAATACATGACTCTGCAGAGAGATTCTAGTATATTTATGCAACAGTAATGTGTGTCACTACAACTGCAGGAGCTAAAATTAAAACACCAGGATTAGATTCTCAAGATACATGCTTTTATTATTTGAAGTAAAAGATAAATGCTGAAGACAACTCACTTCTAGTTCACAGCACACATCAATATTGTGTAAATTACCTCGTAGAAACCGGTCCATTTATAAATATAGGTTTTTTTTAAACGTCCCTAAGCACTTGTAACTTTAGGACT